TGCCCATGGAAACCACCAGTATGCGTTTTGTACTGTCACATACCTTTTTGACAGTCTCCTCATTCTCTGCACCCGTAATCTTGGCCCCTACTGGGCATTCACCATAAAGCGCTCACAGCATCCTACATGCTGAATTGCGTTTGGTATCTCTGGCAGCATGCAACTTGTCTAAATAATCCCCTTTACCATGACACCCATCCCTTACTTGCCTCTTGTACAGTTGCTGTTTCTTCCCACAGACCCAACCAGCGTCCTCAAATACTTATCTAATCATCTTTTCCCTGACAGCCTAGAGTTGAAAGGGTTTCCAACTCAGCACATTGTGTTCAGTTCTGATCCTTCATATGGCTTTCCCTAGACTAAATAATAGTGTAAGTCTTAACATACTGTTTTTTTCTCTGAAGTAGAATTCCTGCTGACTTCAAAAGGAAATTAGCTTGAGTAATGAATTGTAGGTTAAACTGATACTAAATTATTACGGTTTTATAGTCTTTGATTATGTTGGATGTTTTACCTAGAATGTTGTAGACTTATTCCTCAGACATCTGGAATTAAAGGAATTATTAAACATTATTGTTAACTATTATTAATAATAACTAGAACCAGTTTGCACTTTTAAGTCTTGAAGTGTATGCAGCAGTGTAAAAAAAAATAAAATAGACAGATTAATTTTATGTCACGTTTTCAGACTTAATATATTTTGTGAATGTGTGTGCTGAAAGGTTGCCAGATTGTTTATTTTCATTATTTGTTTGTCTTTGGCTGACCTCTGCATCCAGGATGATTCACTAATGCTGGATGTAGTTTCTTATATTTTTACTTTCCTTTACTGATAGAAGGAGCACATTACATTTCTGACATAACTTGAGTCTTGTAAAATGACCCAGTATAGTTATTAATGGATTTTGTCAGCTAATCTAGTGGCTTTAGAAAATGTCAGCATGTCTTGAATACAGTACAGGTTTAGCTGTCTACTTCATGTGCTTTTATATTCAGATTTAACTGTGAATCAGTGTTTTGAGTTGAATGTGCAACAGAGAGAATATGATTTTTAGTAATTTCAGAATTGTTTTTATATGCAAATTCATGTATATATGTGAGGATTTTATAGTGGATCTAGGCTTTGGCTACTCATGCAAGATAGATGAGTATGAGAAACAACAGGGAGTGATAATTCTGCAATTTTACAGTAAGTTACAAAATACTGTTTTATTGGTTGAGCTTGTGAGTTTTATACTTGATAACATCTATACCACTGTGTTAACACACTTCATAACATGTCTGATGAATTCCAACAGTTTAAGGAATTTGCTGGGCACAGTGAATTGAAATCTGTTGATTACAGTGGAAAGCAGAGACTGAGAAGAGTGTAATGTGGGACACATGAAACCCTTGTCATCTGTTCAGCAGAGCTGCAGCTTCAGATGTTTTTGCAGTTGTCCATAGATCAGAGGGTCTACCGCCATTTTTTTACTTGCTATTTCATGAGATTTTAGCATAGTCCTACAGTAGGTAACTTTTCTCTAAGTCTGTTATCTTCAGAGTGCATTTAGACATCATAGCAAACATGATCTAAACTGAAGCTACTACTGAGGCTTTTGGTCCATACCAGGCATTCATAGTATTTCCTTTTCATGGAATATAGTGATGATGTGGCTACAAGGTGAGTCAATTCATTTGGATAAAAAGAACAGTTCCCTGACAAATCAGCCAGCTGAATCAACTTAACTCTGTGGACTCATGATCTCTAGATGCATGAGATGAGGGAAGTGGTCAAGAGTGAGGGGAGCAGTAAGTATGCCATCTTTGGTGGCAGCTACCTGCTCAGTAGACATAACTGACACATCAAATTACATTTTCAGATTGCAGAAATGTGTAAACCAACTTAAGTAGCATTTTCTTCCCCATGCTGCTTATTTTCTTCCTTGTGCTGTTATAGCACATATTAGTACAACCATATATAAACTGTATTGGGAAAGTGATCTAGCTGTTAAGTAACTTGAGCAAGAAATTCTTGAGATGGATCAGTTCCCTATCGTGTTGCAGTGGTCATGAGAGGATGGGAACAGCTGGACATAGACAGGGAGCTTCTTAAGCAGACATTATTCTTGATGAGATGGATTTCAAACATAGGCACAAATAGATAGTGATGCTGGTAGAGAGAAATGGGCAGACATTTAGCCTCTGAAGTTGAGAGAGGTGACCAACTTCACTGTTGGGGAAGATTTGAGATAAATCTTCTAGAGAAAAGAAAAAGATGTGAGAGAAGCAGGGCAGGACATGTGGAGACACTTTGGCATAAGAGAAAGGTGGGAGAATGATGCTGAAGGGAGGAGGACTGTGGAAGAACAGTTTTGGCATCTGGATAAGCTTGTGGAGAGTCTGGGATATAAACGGACCTCTGGTTTTAGCAGGTTTCTGTTTACAGAAGTAAATCAGGGATATGATGGGTTTTGTTTTGTTGTTGTTTTTTTTTTTTTAGTTTCTCCATAAAGAATGTTCTAAAAAATTTCAAGTTAACCTGCATGGTCAATTTTGTGTCTCACATTCATTGTGTGATGTTGAAGTGGCATAATGATGATGTTGTCTCTTTTGCCTCGTAGAGTGATGTTGTTTTGTAAGAATTTCATTTGGCAACCAGCATAATAAGAGGTATATTATTTGTAGTGACAATCCATTCCATTAATTTTTATTCCTGGCTTAGCAATGTTACAGGGAGTACATTTATGAATATATTTCAGTGGCTTATATTTTGATTTGATTGCCTGGAATTTTTCTGATGTGAACAGGAAAGATGAATCAGTAGACAGATGTTTTGATGGATGAAAGAAATCCTTAAAAAATCAGTAAGACTATTACTAATACATATGTGTGTTTTATACTTTTAGAAAGTATTATTTTTACTTGATATAGCAAGAAAGAAACTTAAGAGATCAAGAAAAAAAAATCTGCTGCTTCTACCTCCTCCTAGATCTTTCAACTTTGATCAGCATCATCGTATGTAGATTTGTACTCGAAGGCACAGAATGGTTGCCAGAAGAAATAAGATGGGAACATTTCTAGATAGATTGTTTGCAGTTTTCTTCAAGTGTGTAGTTGCAAAAAGTTACGTAAGCTGTTATCTGGGGATTTGAAGAGGGAGGAGGACAGGGAAGAGGAATAGGAAATGGTAGAATAAGATAATTTTGAAGTGCTTCCCTCTTGTATGTGTGCATCTGCTGAAGTGTGGGGGTTTTCATTTTTTTCTCTGAAGTGGAATAGGTAAGATTGAAGAAAGTGAACTAAAATTAATTTCAGGGTACAATTTAATGATATAGGGACTATCAGGAAATAGAGACTTACAGAATTGTTTGGATGTTGATTTCTCATTTTATCTCCTCTACAGTTGTGCTGTTGCAGTATTTTATAGTGTGCTCTGTGAACTGTCGGCAATGTGACCCCAGTTTAAGCCCTATCCCTGCCCCTCTGCTATCTCTTACACAACTTTTCTATGAACTGTAGCTTTTATTTTCTGTTCTGGTACTAAATCTCTCTTATACAGGATCTGAGTTTCCCATCTTTACTCTCCCCTGGCTGCTCTGGCATGCACATGCATTTTGTAATGCATGGAGAATGTAGTTGTGTCTCTTTGTTCTGTCTCTGTCACTTTCCTTTGCGACCCTCCCAGATCTCTCTTCTGTTGTTAAAACAATGAAATTGAAATCTTGACTGAAATATTAATTTACTTTTTTTTTCCCCATGCATTTACAGTATAGGTACTGTCTGAAGGAAGAATGCTGTTCACTGGCTAGCAAATTTTTAAGCCATGGATTCTTAGCAAAATGTAACTTTAAAGAATTTTTTTTTTTCCTTTTTGCTCACTTCTGCATTTCATTGTGTGAGAAGATAGCATATCAAATATCCTATTAAGTAAAGATTGTGTTTTACCTTTTCATTTGTGCCAGACTGCTTTTGGATGAAGACTAGTAATCAATAAAAATGAAAGCCGATGGTCTAAAATGGTTTAAAATGAAATTGTTAAGCATAGTTATTTGCGGAGTATCAAAGTAGATTTTAAACTTTAATACTTTCATTATTTCTGATTTTATCCCTTCTATAATTTCTAGTTGTTAATACATGTAATGTTTTTAAACATAAAATATGATGATATAAGCATGTATTTGTTTAATTTTCATTCACTAGGATTTGTCTGAGTATGTGTCCGTTATTATTCTGTTTCCTTTGTTGAACTATCTGTAACCCCTTACTTTCCGATTCAAGATTTACTTCTATTGTGCTGTTTGCAGGAAAGAAGCTAAGAATTAATGGCAGTGTTGAAGGGCAGGTTAATTTTTTAGCTTAAGGCATATATGTAAAGCGGTCAAAAAGAATTATTGACAATATTTCAGTCTTTTACCCTACTCTGCCTTCATGCTTTTTCAGTCAGAGAGTTCTGAAAAAAACCCCAACCTGTTTTCTTCATGATTTCATGTTAACAACATAAAGCTTAATGAAAAGAAAAGCCATGTAACACCAAAATAATTGTAGTTGTGGTAGAGTTCAGTTCTGAACAGGAAAAAAATTAGTTTTAAAAGACAGTGTGGGTTTAATGATTATTTTGTTCTTCAAATGTTTTAACTTATCCTGGCTATGAGTCAGAAAAATTACAGAAAAGACATTTCCTTTTCTCTCTTTGTATATATCTTGTATGTTCAATTTTAGTGTTACAGCTTCAGTAAAATTAGTTTTCTGCAGTCATGTAGCTTCCGATAGTGAATACAGCTATTTAAATATGTAAAACAAGACTGTAATTTCCTCAAATTGTGAAGTGAGGCTTTAAGACAGATTTAAATGTGTATTTTGAAATTCTTTAGGTCTCAGTGTAATCAACATCTGTTTCATGTTCCTTCTCTTTACATTAAAAAAAAATTCTTTCTGTTGTAGTTGTGATGGTGGATTTTGTGCCATGGATTCTGTTCAATATATATATATATATATATATTTTTTTTTTTTCCTTACAGAAAACCAACTTGGATGCCCTACGGGGAGATGCATCTTTGACATGGATTATATGTTGGCTCATCTTCTACAACCTGAGGCAGCGGCGTATGTGCTACATATGATAGCAGAATTAATTGTGGGAAGAGACAAGTCAAATGGCTACATCACAATAAGAAGCTGGTTTAAAAATACTTGTATTTCATGCCAGTATTTCAAGGCTGGGAAAGCATAGTAGACCAACAGTAAAAAAAATTACTTTTTTTTTTTCTAAATCCAGTTCAAAAAGAGCAAGTAGTCAATGCATATTTTACCATGCGTTCCCTGATTATTTAGCACTGAACCTTTTATTACACTTGAAATCATGGTGTGAGGATTGGTAGACAACACCCTGCCCCCATCCTCAACACATATCTAGCAACTAAGGACTGTGTCAGGATGACCTCTGAGGAGACGACAGGGTCTGTTCTCATCTCTGTGGTACAGGGTAAAGTGATACCTGCTCAGTCAGCTGGAGATGAAAATACTGAAAATGCTTTGGACACCAGTGTTATAAAAAGACATACTGCCAGTCTGGGAAGGCAAACCACACGTGCTCTCTCATACTTACACAGACTTGAAGAAGAAAGTCTTCAGGGCTCAGTGCCCAAAATATTCTCTCTGGCGAAAGAACGACTGACTAATGACAACAGTAATGAAAACTTATGGGAGAGGAACAGGTCCATCCCTGATTCAGTGGAATTTCTTAACATTAACTGTAACATTGTGCAGAAGAACTACAAGAGTAGTATCCCATGCAGCCAGTTGTATAAATCTTGTGATCCTTTAGCAGGGGGAGAGGCATGCCTGGAAACTGGAATTCCTGTTTCACTGGAAAGAGCCATGCTTGCTGAAATTCAGCTAAAAATGAATGGACCTTCGTTAAGAAGCCAGACAGCAGTAAATAAGAATGACAGCAATGATACTGATAAAGTGGCCTTTTTTCACTTTCATTGTGCTAGTGAAAGGAATATATCAAAGGCTTTGTGCAGTTTACATAATGGCTTCATTTTGGATGACTGCTTGCAGCCAGTAAGTGTTGGTGATGGTAACACCACTGGTTCCCCAGTAATGGAGTTGACAAATAATTGTGAGAATGAAAATGGGCAGCAGTTGTATGAAGATGCCTTAAGGGATAAGTATTTATATCTGGAAAGAGCACCACGAAAGGTTAAAGTGGCATGCTCAGGTCACAGCTTTTGTGGAAATAACTTTACTGGAAGAACACCTTTAAAGCCCTTTCTGAGCCATTTTGAAGACTGTAATGATAACTGTGAAGAAGAGATGGAAGAGGATTTTTTTAGAAACAAAAAGGAACGTTCTACTTTATTAATAAGACGTTTCTGTAAAAATGATAAGGAGGTTAAAAAATCAGTTTATACTGGAACAAGAGCAATTGTTAGGACTTTACCTTCAGGGCACATAGGAACTGTTGCTTGGAATTATGTTGAGCAAAGGAGAAACAAGAGTGGCTTGAAGATTTCTAGGATTACAACAGAACAGCTAACTGTAATCCAGTCCTTAATAAAATGGGAATTTAATTCCTTTCCTGAGAAGTCTTTATGGTATGAGGTAAGCTTTTCATAGGGTTGGTTTTTACTTTTTTTTTGTAAAAAATTTGATAACCTGGTGACCTTTTCATTGAGAAAAAAACCTTTCAGTAGTAAACACTTACTAACACTGAATAGCATATTTCACTTAACCACATTGAACCTCATGATGAACACTACTGTTTAGAGAAATGTATTATCATCCTTTAAAATTAATTTTGGTTTAAAATAGGCATGGGGTAAAATGTATAGTTTTATATCTGGATGAAATTTATACATACATATGTACGTATATAAAAATGTATATAGGCACATATTTATACATGTTTATATAAATTTATATATAAGAATGTAATATACCTATCTGCCTACACATTTTATATTTATATTTTAAATAGAAAATATATGTAAAATAGATGTATTAATATATATTATAGATATAAAAAGTTGAATATATATGGCATAAGTGTGTGTATAAACATTTGGTGGATATATCAATGAAATAATAATTCCATGGAATAAATTGTCTAAAATGGTAAGTGGTAGTATTAGATCACAGTGAAAAATTTTTTTGCTCTGAAAAAGAAAGCATAGTATTTTCCCCAAGTTACAGATATTTATAATGCTTCTACTCTTCCAAATAATTAAAAAAAATTTTAATAGTTGAATAACATATTTTAATGTGCTGATATTGCTCTGATTTGTATTCTCTTAAATTAGATAGTACAAAAAAGTGTTTAGGATGAAATCATGAATGTATAAGTTACTGTTGTAGAAATGACACAGGACATCCTTAATAAATTATTTTAAGGAGTAAAAGATTTTCTGTGATGGTAGAAATTAAATAGTTGACAATGGAATCTATAAAAGACTTTGACTACTGATTCTCAAGGATTTACATGAAATGTGACTTCAGAGAAAGAAAGGCCAGCAGCAGGATGGTAACAGCAAGAGAAACTCGAGTAAGAGAGGAAAGGTTTTCTGGGCTTAGCAAAAAAAGATGGTGTGATTTTTCTCTGTTAAAATATGTGAATAAGCTCTAGGGAGGGGAAAATAACCAAGGTAAATGAGAATGTGGTCAGATACACTATACTTATAAACTGGTCTTGAATAAATGTAGGTTGAAAATGGAAGAAATTTCTAGCAGCACTCAGACTCTGCAACAGCTTTCAGTAGGACTGAAACGGAGGAAAACTAACTTACTTATATAGAATCATTTAGGTTGGAAAAGACATTTAAGATCATTGAGTCTATTCATAAAGTTGATGAAATGGATTATATGAAATTTTGTCAATGATAAGAAAAGAGTGGACTTGGTGGTTCAGAGGCTCTGTGACAATTGTGCCCTCCAGTAATAGCCACATGTCGTAGAAACTAGTATTTTTACGTTTACATAGTTGACTGAAGAGTTCTGTGAACATGTGTGTGTCAGGTTTTTGTGCTAGGTTGCAAAGCTTTGTGGTGCTGTTCGTTGCTGTGATAGTCACTACCCTAATCGGTGGGAGTGCACACTTGCTGGTACAGCACATGCACTGCATGGTGCATGGTCACGCTCCCATGAAGGGATGAATATGGGCCATGTATTTACCTAACATCATATCTTCTCAGTACATTTGTATTGTCATTATAAGCTTTTTTTCTGTGGGGAGAAGGAAGAATTCTTTGTAGCTGAGGTCTAGTGTAATTTTCATTTATATAAGTATGAAGAGGGAAGGATGTGCTTAGGTTTCTGCATTGGGCATTTCCAATTTGACTTGAGTTCCTTAGTTTTTAACATGCATGCCTGTGTCACCACTTTCTACCACTGCTGCATAACACTGAATGTATAGCATTTTGGGGTTTGAGGGCTTTACTTTGAAAAGGTTTTCTGTAGTACGTACAGAAACTCAGAAATAAATGTAATAAGCACTCACTGACTAATTATTTAAATAGGAAAAGTTCTGTCTGCAAATGAACAAAAGATTAACAGGCCAGTAAATCACTCTGCGTCATTACAATGCAGAGTATTTTCTCATGATCAGAAAAAGCTTCATGATTCTAAGTCTTTCTTCTTCCAGATGATGACTATAAATATTTTTCTTATCAACCTCTGTATTTAATCTCTTAATGTATAATATGCATCAAACATTTTTAGCATTACTTTTCTGTTATTTTAGTCAAATAATATTTCTATTTGTTTATAGCTTATGTTAGTAGCATTATAGATGGTTTTTACACAAGCATAGAAATGAACTCGGTGGATGTGACAGATATATGGACCTGTCGAACATATGCACTGGGTTAAAATAATGAATTATGAGCATTTGTAGGAAGCTTGCACGCTAATAATCAAAGGAAGATGGAGAAAGTAGTAAATGAATGTGGTAATTTGTTCTTTCTTTCCCCTTATCTCACCCTTTGAGCATGCATTCTGTTTGGAACAGCTAAGTGAACAGTAGTTCTGTTCTTCAAGGGGGAAAAAAAGTTGGAGAAATTAAGTTTTCGTAGCAGTACTGGTGTAACATGGAACAATAGAGACCTTTATGTTTTAAGTAGGAAAATGTGGGTCTCATTTGTGCATATCCCTTGCATAAAAATTCTAGTGCTAATAAAGGAAAAGCACTGAACTGTTGTCTTGCTGAATAATTTTTTTCTTTTTTCTTTCCCTACATAGGAAGGTGGGACTGAGGCTTTGCATTATGTAGAAAATACATGAAACTACATACTTTTTTAATGTAACATGATAAGTGTTTAGAGATATTTTATATGCAGATTGAGACTCCTCTGCTCTGGATTTGCTGTATGTGTTGTATGAAGAGAGAAGATTTTTATGCTGAATCTTTTTTTTCTAATTTTTGCATGTAGTTTTTGCAGCTGTATGCAGTGCAACACTTACCTTTATCAGATGGATTTGTGTAACAAGGCTGTTGTGTCTATTTGTGAGAAATTTGCTTGTCTGTTGGAACAGTGCAAGCTCCTCACATCAGCAGTCTTTAATATGTTGCAAATGCAAAGAATTTGCCACAGAAACAAATAATGAGCGTGCGAACTTTGGCATTGGCTTTTTTTTTGGCCTGGCATAATGTATCCACTCCTTGGCTTCTGCTCAGCTGCATCATATTAGCAATCTGACTAATTACAAAAGTCAAAAGTTTCTGATATCATTAAACCATCTGTGTCTGTGAGATGTTAGATTCATAGTGCTGAAGTATGCTGCTTTTTTCCTGATATGATGGTGGTAAAGTAATATGACAGAAGTAGTCAGGTCCACTATTGGACAAGATATGAAATGTGAGCAGCACAGTAGACTACCATGGGTGTGATTCTCTCAAACCAAGTAAGCGGCCTCAGGATCTCCAGATGACAGCTGCAACAACATAGTTGCAATGCATAATAGCTGAATTCTTTAGTTAAGCTTATTTTGTAGGCATCAGTACCATCTTTGCTGTGTCATTACATTCCTGATGCCAGTAGTTTGAGTGTTAAGAAGCTAGAATTCTGGTGGCTTTTTTAACTCTGCTCAGATAGAAGTTAGAACACTAATGTATCATCCACTCTTCGTTGCTCCTAAGGCGCTACTAAAATGCCAAATACTAATAAGGCAGCAATTAAAAAAAACCTTAATTGCCCTCACATCTTTTTCCAGACAGAATAATGATTTTATTGTAGATTTATTTTGTAGGAGTGCTTCATAATTAATTTAATAATTTGGTATAGTAGTTCAGGATTTGTTAGCATCAGGTATTTTTTCCATGTAGTGTCTGTAGTGCTTTTATGATTCATGTTGTAAAATCAATGTAATGCAAGGATTTTTGCTTATGCACAGCTAATGTAAGGAGTCTTGTGTTAAGATTTTTTTATTTCCATAAAGTTGCGCTAAATAGTCGGTGGCATCTGTTAACAAAGAGTTAAGGAGAGAAAAAAGATTTAGTGGTAAAAAATTTTTATTATCCTGTTTTATTAATGTGATATCTAAAACAGTAATCTTGGATAATATTTTTAAAGAAACAGAGCCATGCACAAGTAGTTTTCTGCTTAATAGATAGTATTTGTCTGAATCTTTTCTTTGTTTAGGATTGATTATTAATCTGAATACATTAAAAATTCTATTAAATTTAAAATATGAATTTTAAATGTTAATTTTCTGAACCTATAGAGAGCTTGATTTCCTTCCCCTGCAGTTCCTCCCTGTTAGAGGTGTATCAGCAACTCTAGTCATTGTATCTTTATGTTGCATGCGCTTCTGGCATTTCTGAAGACATACACAGATTGAGTATTTCACTATCAGTCATGGAAATAACATCTGCTTTGACTCTTTCGACAAGCAGTTGCACTAACTAAATACAGGAGCCTTTTACATCAAATGTTTATGAATAAAGGAAGGATTAGTAATGCTGTATGTTCAGAAGAACAGTTTTTTGGTTGCTTTTCTCAGGTTGGGTTAATTGTAACATTTTGCTGTCAGTATTTTGTCAGAGTGAATAACATAACCCTCTTTTTTATCTAGTAGTGTCTTGGAAGATACACTTTCCCAGTGTATTCAAAACATGTAATGAGGAGGTCTATGCTGATTCTTAACAAGAGAAACAAAAACTTGAAAGCATCTGACTTACCCTCTCTGCTAATGATAACAGTAATAAGCATAAGAGTCCTCGTGTATGTACTATGTTTCACTCAGATGACTGATCTGATTAGTAGAACAGACATAAAGCTTGTTGAGTGACCTGGCAAAAGGAGTCATCTTAGTGCAGTTATTCTGCCAAACTCTGAGATTCACAACCCATGAAGCAGGTTAAAAAATTAAATACTTACAGGCTTTCACTTCTTGGTTCTTTTTAATTGTTTCGGTAGGAATTTCAGGTCTAGATTTGCTGTGTTTCCATCTTTCTGTTAAGATTATGTGGTTCTCCCACAGGTTTTTTCGTGCTTGCTCCATATTTTAAAAAATGGAATTCTTTAAATAGACTTTTGCTCTCTTCCCCACCAGTTTTGCATGCATACCTGAAACGTAACACTGCTTTTTATGCTAAAGTTTATGCCATA